AAAAAAAGCGACAAAGTCCAAACAACTCGATTTGTTGTATGGGAAAATGGCAACCATTCGTCTTGCCATTACCCTGGCAGTCCACTTGGTGAGAATGAATCAAATAGCGATTGGGATCCTTCCTAAGCGGTACAGTTTGTCCTACTTTTCAGTAAGCGACGCGTAAGGACAGCAAAAACCAACAATCCAACCAGTTACCTTCAATCGCTTGATACCGTTTCCGCGCTGATTCTTACGCCAAACAACCAACTCCTGTGCTCTCTACCACAAACTCGAATCCATGCAAAACCATTTGCCACGAAATCTTGTGCTTCTCCCAAACAAGTAAATGCAAAGACCACAGCAAACCGTTCCAGACCGTCTAACCTATAAACATCTACTCACCATGTGACGTCTTGCAAAGATCCCATTACCCCAACGACGTGGTCAAAAATCCGATTCAAACCTTGAACAATCTCAAACCTTCCTGGTCTCACTATCCAAACCTACAACCCTACAAAGTCCTGGAACACTTCATGAATTCACAAACCCTAAACCCTGAAGCCGCCTACCCTGAACACTAGACATAAACCCTAAACCCCAAACCCAAGCCCTAACCCTAAATCCTAAATCAGACTTATGTTACAATTGAAAGCCGCTGCCCATGACCTGCAGGAGAGGGGGATTCGGACAGCTGGCGCTCGCCGGCTGCGGAGCTCAGTGGGGCCTGACATGAGGCTCAGGATTTTCGATTCATAGCCCAATGTAGGTAAGATTTACAGGCTTCAGGGCCCAATGTAGGCAGTTTTTGTATACGTGGATCCCTAGGGCAGGGTTTAGGGACTGGGACTTAGGATATAGGCCTGGGCTTGGGGCCTGATAGGATTCAGGTTTTCGAGTTTCCGGTTTAGGGTGCAGGGTTTAAGGTTGTCTTATCCAGCTTTCGGGGGCGATCCTGTGCTTCAGCTTGTAAAGTGGGTGGGCCCAAGAAACTCCCCAATTCCGGAAAACCTGGCTAAACCCTGAACCCTAAACCCTAAATCCGACGCCCTAAACCCTAAGCCCTAAATTCTACGCCCTAAACCCTAAAACCTGGCCTGTACGTTGGAAATCTTTTTGAGGATCTTGGCGTGCTCAAGCCGCAGGTGGGCTATGCGAAGCTGTCGAACCTTCGCTGACGAACGTAGGCCCCACGCTGGGGCGTTGGTTCAGGATTTGGGGCTTTGGGTTTAGGATTTGTGTGTTAAGGTTTAGTTTAGGATTTGGGGTTTAAGGAATAATAGATTTTGGAGTTAAGGTTTAGGATCTGGGGTTGAAGGTACAGGATTTGGGGCTTAAGGTATAGAATTTGGGGTTTAAGGTACAGGATTTGGGGCTCAGGGATTGGAAGACAAAAACCTTCTTCCCACACCCCATGCAAAAAAGCCGAGGGCATGCTACTCAAGGTTTAGGGTTTAGGGTTGGCAGCACGTGTTGGGTCTTCCAAACTGTCACGAGACCCCTCCAAGTTCAAGATTGAGAGGCACTTCTCAGATCCCTACAGTAGTTTACATTTTTGCATTATCCCTATATAACCCCTACAGTGGTTTCTATTGTCTTTTCCATTGTCCCTATGTAACTCATAAACTCACACAAAGCCCTGACCATGCTTTCCCTAAAAGGGGTATTTTGTAGGGAAGTATGATAGGGGTTATTAAGGGGGATACTAGGAGTATAGACTATAGCTCATTTCAGGATCCTCTACCACCCCAACTGCTCAACAGCAGCGATGACTTGATGTTTCGGATCCTCATGGTTCTTTGCATGGCAATGCTTCCACCCTAAACCTTAAACCCGAAATCTAAAAAATCCCTACAAAATCCTGTTGGGAATCTGGGATACAGCAACTCAGTGGCGGACATGTGCATCCTCCAACTTTCCAATCTCCAGCAGGGTCCCTGGCAAATGGGTGTAAAAACAGAACCAACGATGCGCAGCAATTGATGCAGGTTTTCATGATTTAATGGATCTTACAAGATATCAGCAGCTGTGGCAGAAAGCAGGAATGACTCTCAATATCGTACAGGCTCATGCTAACAAATCCTCCCTGTCGTTCTGATTGGTGTCCAGTTGCTGTTTGGACTCCAGAAAATGCTTCTTCGCACAGACACTGATTTGGAAGGTGTGCCTCCCCGCCGATGGAAGCTTTGCAGTTCAAGGCTAGGCTTCGGAGGGAGAAGGGTCGAAGCTTGCTACTTGCTCTTCCCAGTTGCAGACCATATCTCTGCTCTGCTAACATATGACACAGTGACGGGATAAGATGACAAGGAGCAGAAAGAGAGGACAAGAAGAGCAAGCGCACACGCGCATTTGCGCAGGCACCTACGCTTGCTAGGCAATCCACTTTCCTATCCTTTTCTGTACTGAATTTCTAACTACCTCTCAGTAGCACCCTGAGGTCCGGACGGAGGAAGACGCCCACAAAGATGGAGGAAACCAAGGCTGAAGCCACAACCTCAACAGCTTTTATCCCATACTTTCGCAAAACCACAACGTAGCAGCCTCCAAGCATGAAGGTCCGCCTCTAGGCACCCTAAGCACAATAAATCTCAAAAAAAACAAGCAACACCATAATTGGATGATCCTCTGCAAAAGCACCTCGGGTTTAGGACTAAGGGTTGATTTAGGTTCGGAATGTACCATTTAATTGGGAGTCAAAGTTTTTGAATGCTCTTTTGGGTTTGTACCCTGGGTTTTGGGTCCCTAAACCATGGAACATGGCCCTCAATATGCTCTTTCGGGTTTAGGGTCTAGTCTAGACCTCCAACACCATCCAAAGCCCTAAGCCAGGGCCCCTGCCATCAGAGAAACGCCTCCCCGGCTAGTCAGGCCGAAGACCTTGGCCCCAAATAGTCTATAGGGGATTATATAGCGTTTAGGGTCGGTTTAGGGCCCCAAATACTATATAGAGGATACAGGGTTTAGGGTTTACGGTTTAGGGCCCCAAATAGTATATAGGGGATCAAAGCTTTGAGCGTTTTGAGGCTTAAAGGTTGGCGATGAGGGAGTAGGGATTGAGCTTTAGGTCCATGGGGTTAGGGTTTATATATATATATATGGTTCAAGGTTTATGCTTCCTAGGGCTTTCAAGGCTTCAGGCTCGAGGTTTGAGGGCGCACAGGCTTAGAGCTTCAGGCTTCGAGTTCTTAGTCCAGGGCCTGGTAGTGGGGACGAAGAATTGAGATTCTAGTCTTTTGGGTTCTGTGGTTGAGGGGCGGAGCCGTTGAGGTTCAAAAGCCCAAGCAGTATGCTATTGACATCGGGGGATGACAAAAACAGCAATGAGCTTTTGGCGATGCAAGGATTCGAGATTCGAGCATTCAGCTTTCAAGGGCTTTGAAGAACAAATTTACGATCTGAATTAGGATATAAAAGACTCACCTATCGTCTGTGGAATTAACTGACTTTCCGCCTAACGAACGCTCATGTAAGACTTAAGCTGATTGGCCAAGAGCATCAGGGGGTTGCCTTTTTGGAGACATGTCGTTTGAGTGCGTGTAAGGGATGCACTGTTTGAGTCCATGTGCGCCGTCGGGCCGTCTGCATTTCCTACACAAGCCTGCGCAAGTTGTTGAACACAAGAGCTTAAACCGCCAAGTAGTAACCTACAATGTCGATCCGCAGTCGACGGTAGCTTCCAAAAAAACAGTAGCCCAAAAGAGGGGCCTCAAAGGTAAATGCCTCAAATTTGAAGATACAGCATTCAAGATCTATATATATATATATATACATATACATATACAAATACATATACATACATATATATATATATACATACACATATACATACATACATACATACATACATACATACATACACCTACCTACATACGTGCATACATACACACCTACATGCCTACATACATATTTACATAGATACATACGTACATGCAT